ATTCATTCATTTTAATCCTCGTACGGTATATGGTAGTTGAAGAATTTCTTTTCACATCTCGTTCAATGAGGTAAGATCAAATACTTTTTTTCCCTCGTACCACTGGAATTTTTTTTTTTTTAATAATTTACATTATTAGCGTGTATACAACGTTGTGTGTGTGTGTGGTGTGTGGGTGTGTGTGCTTCAACGTGGCTCGTTCGCTCGGAAACACCACGACACTCGTCGATCCTGTCTTTGTTCGTCCACGTGGGTCGTCGAGCTTTTCACGAGCATTTTTTCACGACGAAATGGAGAAGGATTGGCGCGGTGTGAGAAGTTACACAACACAGTCGACCTGGGAAGAGTTGGTCCACCGAAGATGTTCGCGCAAACCCGTGGTTCGCCGTGGGAAGAGATTTATCGGCTAATCGAGTGAACGTCGACAAAGTGAACGTTTAATCATAGAACGAGTTTAAGGCTCGAGTTTCTTCGTTAAAATTCCGATTTGATCGAATAAAAGTCAGGCGAGATAAAGGTGATTCCATTTGAATCAAGGTCACGTTGGAAATCTAACCGACGTAGAAATTGGAGAGAAAAAGAAAAAAAACCAAAATTCAAGATTAAGATTTAATTACAGTCCTAATTTAAAAGTGTGTCCTGTCACTTTTAACATCGGCGTTCGTCGAACCTACGTTCAAATTTCCACGAATTTTCAATCCGACTATTCTACGTGCTTCGACATCGAACGAACGATCTTACGAAGTGTCGCCAATTCATTCTAAAACGAGTAAAACTAGATAGAAAATGAAGAGAGAGAAAAAACGCGTAGGAAGGAACTGTAACCATGAAATCTGACAAACAGAGAATAGCTATTTCCCGTTGACAAGATCCTCTAAAAATTGTCTCTTCGAAGAAGGAGAAAAACACGTTTCTCCGAAATTCATTGAACGAATCTCTTCTCGCGGCTTCTTGGGAGTTTTGGGGGAGGGGATTGAACAAGCATTACGCAGAATGCAGAGGGCCGGTTCATAGGTGGACAACAGGGATTTCTTCCTGCTCTACGATCGCCGTAGAAAAACGAAGAATGCCCCCCCCGGAGGAAGCGTGGGTTTCTCTCGGGGCGGGCGGTGAAGACGATAACGTAAGACTAGACTTCAACAATACATGCGGTTCTTCATCGCCGTACAGACACACTGCTGGTGGAGTATAAAAATATAAACATCTAAAAATGAAAAAGCGAGACGCCGTTACGCAGGAGAACTGATTGTGTCGAGGCTGAAAACGCGTGCATCACGAGGATTCCTTTTTTTTTTTTTTTCTCTATTTTAGTTAGGCTGTGTGATCCGTTCTACCATTATTTTACTTCATTCGTCCGTTTCTCATTTTTACTTTCTCCCCGTTCTAAACGCGACTGCGAAAAATATATAGACCAAGTGTTCAGTTTTTGTCGATCCATGAAAAATTTAGCGAGTAAACGAGTTTGAATAAACAGCTCCGTCAAGGATAAACGCGCTCGTTGACGACAAGTGAAATGGGAAAGAAAAAAGAAGAGAAAATAGAAAAAAAAAAAGAGAGGCATTGTACTATGTAAAATGTATCGTTAGATCGGAGAGTGTTATCTTTAGAATGATCGCGCAGGAGCTTTTTTTAGATTAGACTTATAGACTTGTACGTAGCCTTTGAATCAGAGGAAGACACCTTCTCAGCGAGGAAACAGCGTTTATTTAACATTCATCTAAATTTCTGACAGATCAACAAAATCGTTTTTTTTTTCCCC